CTGAGTGGAGGAAAGAGGGCCTTGTGACTGTTTTTACCTGTGGGCCATTAGCCAAGATTCTCAAAAATGAGATAATAAGAAGCATAGTTATAATCAGCCTGACAGTCCCATCCATGCAGTACTCACTATGAGCAAAGCATTACCTGAAGGTTCTATTCATACTTTCTCTCTTTTTTTTTTTTTCATTACCTCACACCTCTGAGGTAGGCATGACTACCATTCCCCTCACAGAAAAGGGGTTAGGTCACACAGCCAATGTCACCTGGCTGGGCGTCAAGCCACACAGCCGACATCTAGCCCACCACTGCAGCCAGTCTTGCTCAAAGCAAGTTTGCCTGGGGAATCCTGAATGAATGACAAGCCCTGAGAGCTGCTCCAGATGCTGTTCAGTAAAGCCTCAGCCAGACGTGGATTGGCTGAACTTAGAGCTGCGCAGTGGAGTCAATGCACACACTGTGCTGAAGCTTCTGCAAATCGTGGAAACCATGGCATTCCCCAAACACAGTGCTGAAGCGGAAGTTTCGGGTTTCTTTGGAAACTCAGTTGTGTCATGTGATGTTGTTTTGTTTTTTTGTTGTTGTTGTTTGTTTGGATCGGAAGTGTGGGATGTGGGAAAACAGCCCCTGTGAAAAGGCACGTGTTGTTGGTCATCTGAGACCTCCCTCATGCAAGGGGCATGGTTTTTGTGAGCTGCAAAGCATCCTTGTGGGGATCCTGAGAAAGTTATACAGAAACCCACAGAGGGTGAGACGTCACCTTCTGCATCTCTATGCTTTTTCGTTACTACTTTTTTTCAACGGGTTTGAATCCTTTGCCGGTCTTCCCTGAGAGAAACGGCCCAGAGAACTGCTCAGGCTACTTTGGTGGAGTTTTTCCTTTTCGGTGGACTCATGCCATTTGGGCCACTTCCTTCCACTGCTGCTGCTTGGCTGTTTGACTAGCCTGCTGGTATCCTAATGACCGAGTCTGGTAATCCCCTAAGGGCTCATACACACTAATCAACAGGAAGTACAGAAAAGAGGTCTACAGCCCCTTCCCCTATCTAAGGTCTGGGGCTAGGAAGGGAGGTAAAGGCCTTTACGAACCTTAAATAAAGTAGGTGTTTGAAAAATATAAGCCTACATAGTGCATCCAATGTAGTGAAAGACAAAAGATACCTCAAGCATCTTACTCTACAGATGGGAGAGGGCATCCGGCAGGCGCTGCTGAGATCACAGCAGAAGCAGGTGTCAATACTTAACAGGCCTCAGCACTTGCCCTCTGTCCACACCCCAACATCATTTCTTTCTAGAAGGTAGAGAATGCCTTCTTTGGAGGTAGGTTAACATGGATGGCTCCTAAGATCTCCTTATATGACCTATTAAGATCATTGTTTCAGTTACATCCCTAGCACCCCTCATTTATGAGCTCCCCAAAAATGGCCTCAACAATGACGGCAAATACAAAGTCATTGCCATTGAGGCTCACTCTACTAAAAAACATACAATGATTGGAAGAAGTTTTATTAGAAATTCAGAGCCAAGTTCAAAACCCCTTGGAAGGAGTCATATAATCACTAAATGTCCATCCTTCCCTCAGGTCTAAGAAAAACGAAGTGCCACATGAGGATCAAGGGGCTGAACACATTAGGACCATCACCACTGAAGTACGTCTTTCCAAATCGCTGGCTCTTGGGTTCTTACATCCGAGAGACAGATGATGCATGAGAGTGAGCGTACTGAAGGTGTTGGGACCATCTCCACTGATGTACTTGCTATAATTCCTGGCACCCAGGTTCTCACTTAGTATGGCCTGGCTCCCGATTACAACCCTCTGCACACCACACTTGTACTCCCTGGAAAGCGCCTCGCCTTTCCAATCTTCTCCATAAGTCACTCTTTTTCTATCCATTTTACAGATGTTGACACTGGCTGCCTTCATTCTACTTCTAGTCTCTGTCACATTCTCTGCCGGAAGTGGCAGCTGACTCCCACAGACGCTCTTAATTGGAAGGCATCTCCAGCTCCAGTTCTAAGTTGCCCCTGGGGTTTCAGATTCATTTACATCCCCCCTCCAAACCTCAAAGACATCTGTGGCTTACTGTGTCAAAAAGAATCCCATGGTCAACAAATACGAGCCTTGCTGCTTTCTCCACACCTCTGTACAGCGTCTCCTGGTGGTGCCATCTTTCCCTGGTGGCTTCACCTATGAGTATCTGAGAGGCATTTGTTCCATCCCTCTGCCACAGCTTGGGCTGCATTCCTTCCCTCATCAGGGATCCCTGATCCCCAACAGACCCCTCAAATTCACACTCAAATCTACCAGGCTGAAAGCCTGTCCATATCACAGAGCACATAGACTCCTCCCTTAGCACAGGTAGAGTGAGCGCCTCTCCCCAAACTCACCTCAGTTCATAATCTCTGAGGGAGATGCTCTGACCTTATTTTGTCTCCTTCTAGGTCTTAAGGGAAATTCATAATTATGATGATCAATGCTCACCGTCAATTTTATGGAATTTAGAATTACCTTGGAAACATGTCTCTTGGTTTAACCATGAGAATGTTTCCAGAGAGTTTCAGTTATAAAAGGTAAATCATGAATGTTGGTGGCACCATTGCATGGGTAGAGGCCCCAGGCTGAACTAAAAAGAAGAGACCAAGTTATACGCCAGCATCCATCTCTTTCTGCTGCTGACTGGATTCCTCATGACTACCTGCCTCACTCTCTTGTTGCCCTGTTTTCCCTTCTGTGATGGATTATACCCTCAAAGTGTGAGCCGAAATAAATCCTTTATCTAGTAAATGGCGTCTTCTTAGGTACTTTGTCACTGCAATGAGAAGTAACAAATACAGTATCTCAAAAGAAATTTTACTCCCAATATTTGTGATCAGTTTTTACAAGTGAGTTTCATTGTATCTTTCTACCTATCAATGCGTGGCTCATCCCTGTCATGCACATTGATCCACACAGATCTACGAGGCTTGGCCCATCTTCACGTCTACGCCACAAATAAGAAAACTAAGCTTCAAAGCAGTTTGATAACTTTTCCCAAGAGTGTCTAGTTAAAGGAGTAGAAACAGAACCAAGTCCTGGCTCTGCCAGCTGCTAAGAGGAGCACATACATCACATGAAGCCCAGAGCCCAGCAGCCCACAGCGTTGTATACTCACGGCTGTCAAAGAGACAGAATATGCAGGAGAGAAGAAGGTGAAATGGCAATGGTAGAAAGAGATTTTTGACATAAATTACAATTTTATGGTTCCACAATCATCATTTGATTTTCAGCATTTTCTCAAGCCTAAATTTGATCTGAAGTTCAACCAGCTATATACACACATATTTACACAAATATATTATCAACAGAAAAGTACAGAATACATAAATATGATGGCTACTGTAAGAAAGTTCCTATTGTAAGTCTATTTTAAGTGAAGTTGTGTTTAAGGACTCACATCTGTCCATCTGATTTGGGGACATGGAAAAAACACATACAGTTAGATTCAACAGTCCATAGTCAGTCTCATGCATATTCAGAAGTGAAGGGATATATTTAACTTGTGTCAGTTTGCTTCTGCTTGCAAGAACAATTGTGTTTTTTAAAGTCCAAAAAGCCATGTGCACACTTCCACACTTTAACACAATGTCAAACATGTGCAATTATTATAGTAACATGTCCACTAAGTTTCCTGATACATTCCCTTTTTCCCAACACATCTGGCCTCTTTGCTCAAACTTCTGAATGGTCTTCCTACACCGCCCCCTTCCGGAAAGTTCAAGAACCACAGGCAGCCTCAGCCACAGCTATACCTCAAGCTGCGGAACTCAGGGCGCAACCCCTCTCAGCTTGTCCACTGCCCGTATTCTTTCCTGACTTCTTGCCAAAACAAAAAACAAAAAAACAAAAAACAAAAAACTTCAGATCATTTCCAGAACCACATAAACTTATTTTGCCATCTCTATACACAACGATAGCGGTTCATCTTGTCCCCGTGCCCCATCACCCACTTACCTAAGCCGTCTGTTGCTGCTGACACATGCTCCCCTGTTCTCTCTCCTTGGCAGTGAAGTTGTCTCCACCTCCACCACCCAGCTGGCCAGGCCTTGCTACCTAAGCCCACCCCTTCAGCCAGCTGCTGCTCTCCCTCTGCTGTATCTGCAGCTGCTGCTGGACCAGCACGAGACCTGCAGTGACTGTGGGTGTGACGTCATTCCACCATGTGGCCCCTCGTCCTACCTTCCTCGTCAACTTGAAATCTCACCTCTCCGAAAGCCTCCCAGCAAACTTCCTGCACCAAGCTGTGTGAAGCAGGACAGTTCCAACCACCTCTTCTCTATCTTTTCTTTTTCCTTAAGCTACTGAATCATTTTCTTCATGGCTTTTTGCTTTATTTTATTATATATATATACATATATATGTATGTATGTATGTATGTATGTATGTATGTATGTATGTATGTAT